TTCCGATGGCCACCAATGTTCTTTGTCTCGCCAAGTTCATGTGCAGCTTGTCCTGGAGGCCGATGAAGGAGTCGTAGCTCTCTTGGGTGAACTTGATGTTTCTAAGAATGGCACCAGCAACGAGGGGTCGGATTTTGCTGGTGTCCTGGGCGACGGTAATGACGGAGGCTTCAGGGTTCTTGGGTTCTACGACCTTGTAGTTGGGTGCGGCAACCTTCTCTCTGAAGATGTTGAGCATGAGCGCGATACCCTCGAAGCACAGCATGTCGTATCGGTTGGCGGGGATCTCGATCTTCAGCTGGGGCGGCTCCTGCACGCCATTGACAATCGGTCGGTCGTCATTCTCAGTGTCCTCGTCGAGCTCGATACCGAATTCGAAGCACAGGTCTTCGAACTCTTGGGTGGTGAAGCTGTGCGGGCGACGATCAGCAAGAGGCAGTATAGGGATGGCGGGGTCAAGATGTCTAGATCGGGGCGGACGGTGCCAGCACGGCGCAACTCACTTTTGGCCTAGAGCCTTGTACAGATCGTACTTGTTGACGGATATGGTAGGCATGGTGAGAATTGGCGAGAGTCTCTCGAGGGTGCAGAGGTCTGTCTGGCGTCAGGGGCAGGAGAGGATTCAAGCAATGGTCAATTTCCGTCTCCAATATGGCCTTGAGTCACAGAAATTTTGGGGATACTCGGAGGTGAAGCAACTGCATGCACGCATGGAAGGTTCACCGGGGCGGGATGAAGTTGCTGCTTTAAGAGGTCAGTGGGAGTCATTTCGACTTCATCGCAGCCATTGGAGGGGCTGCGGGGTTGAGGGGCAGCAAAAGCAGCGGTCGCACTCGGCATCTCAATTTTCCAGGGTCCGATGTCAGAGAGTGGTCCGTGTCAACCGACACCGGGACGGGTTACAGCGCAGCACAACGCAACCCAGCGCAGGCAGGAGAAATGGAAGCCATAAATCACCATATTCCTCTTCGGTGCAGGCCCATCGACAGCTGGCGGCCAGTGCATACAGCCGTGCGCATATTCCAGCCACGACATGTTTCGCCGCTGGTGGAAGGTGGGAGGGACATCTGAGCTGTTTGCTGGTAACGGGAAAGTTTGGCAGATGCCTCACTGACAGCTCGTAGCTACCCACAGCGGTGACTAAAGGTACGGTAAGGTATCTCACCACCTTACCTAGGTGCTGGCCAAAATGCGCGCGGAGCAGAAAATGCTGGATTCCGATTCATTGCCTCAATCACAATCATGCGTTTCCGAATACCCAGACTCGGGACAACGTTAAATATGATGTAGCTGTCCCATAACCCCCTCCATGAAGGTAGTGCATACTAAGTACCTACCTATGATCAGGTAGCTTAGCTGCAGGCTGATAACCCCTCCTCGGCCGGTCACCCGGGAGACATCTCACCAGGCCAAGAAGGAATGAAGCTGGACTTGAAAGTTGGCATGTCTCAAGCACAAGGTAGTAAGAAGAATGCTACCTATGGTGCTTATTGTGTTAGCTATAGAGGGCATAGAAAATTCCAAGGAACGTGAGGACGTTGGAGGAGCGATACGTCAGTTAGTACCGAACCTGTGCTGCAAGTCCGCTTTTCAGCTGCTACGAAGATGCGGCAGCAAACGACAAGCAGCAGCCCCTCACCAGAAGAAAGGAAAGAGCACCTCCTCCTGGCTCCTGCACCCCTGCCTTACGACATCCACCACCAAGAAGTTACGGGTACGTACCTTCCCTCTGTCAGACCTTGCCCAAGGCGGTCACAGATACAGGCTCTCTCGTAGGCGCCTAGAAATGCTGTTGCCCATCACCGAACGACTAAGGTGGCCACCGCAGCTGATAATTTAGGTGCGGTAAGGTAGCCCATTTCTGGTCGGGTGGGACAGCACCTGGAGCAGAAGCGAAAGACGAACCTCAGAAACAGCACGTCAAACTTCCCTTCCCATGCCTCGTGCTTCCACTATCTATCTCAAATCAACACCCGGCCACGCTCTCCTCCACCACTGCCACACGAACTTCACCACGACAACTAGCTGTGCCTTTCGCCAACCTGACGTCGGATCGTTGGCATGGTCTGCATGCTCGCAACCTCCTGATAATATCTGCCATACCACTATCCTGGTTGCGTCGTCTCAGATTTTAGAGCCCCCCCAATCCCACAACGACCGCCGCTCGCCCTCAACCAACCCATTGCATCACCCGCACGCGATCCACTCCGATCGCTCACAACCACGACGTCGACTCTCCTGAATATCATCCGACCCTCCCATCGATAAACGCGCCTGCGCAACCTCGCTCGCCATGGCAGACGCGCCGAATACCCAGGACGAGCTCTACCCCATCGCCGTCCTCATCGACGAGCTAAAGGTATGGCGGTGACTCTGCCTGTCTAGCCCAACCCCGACGTCACCCTTCAGCCGCCAGCGCACAACACATTGCTAACCCTTTCGCGATCCAGCACGACGATGTCCTCCTGCGTCTCAATGCCATTCACCGCCTCTCCACCATCGCCCTCGCCCTAGGCGCCGAGCGCACGCGTGAGGAATTGATTCCCTTCCTCGACGGTATGTCTTGCGCATCCATCCCTATGTGAGCCAATATCTAAACTTTCAACCAGAGTCCGTTGAGGACGAGGATGAGGTGCTAGTCGCTCTCAGCGGCGAGCTGGGCAACTTCATCGAGTATGTCGGAGGCGCCCAATGGGGCCATGTCCTCCTCTCCCCCCTCGAGAACCTCGCTGCCATCGAGGAACCCGTCGTGCGGGACAAGGTAGCTATTGCCCCCTGCTCCACCCACCAGTCACATCGCCTAATCAAAGCAGGCCGTCGAGTCCCTCAACAAGATCTGCGAGGAGCTGTCCTCTCAGCAAGTCGAAGAATACTTCATCCCCTTGACCATCCGACTTTCAAAAGCAGACTGGTTCACTTCCAAGGTGTCTGGCTGCGGTCTCTACACATCGCCCTACAAGAAGGTGTCCCCGGGCATTCAAGAAGACCTCCGAAAGCAGTTTGGACAGCTTGTCCACGATGAGACACCCATGGTCAGACGCCAGGCTGCCACCAACCTGGCAAAGTTCGTCAAGGAGATGCCGGCCGCTATCGTTGTCGAAGAGATGATACCCCTTTTCCAGCACCTCGCCCAGGACGACCAGGACAGCGTCCGCCTACTTACCGTCGAGATCCTCATTTCCATCGCCGAGGTCGTACCCAAGGAGCAGCAGTCGAGTCACGGCGTTCTCCTCACTTCTCTGCGAAACCTGATTGAGGACAAGAGCTGGAGGGTTCGGTACATGATTGCAGACAGATTCGAGAAGGTTGGCAGGAATGAATACGCTCGTAGGGAGGGCCACGCTAATGCGCAAACAGATTTCCAAGGCTGTCGATGAGGAGGTCGTTTCAAGGGATCTGGTGCCATCTTTCGTGAAGCTCCTCAAGGACAACGAGGCAGAAGTCCGGACTGCGATTGCTGGACAAATACCAGGATTCTGTGCGCTTGTGGACCGCACTGTCCTTCTGAATGATATTATGAGCAGCGTGGAGGATCTCGTTTCCGACACCTCCCAGCATGTCAGAGCTGCTCTCGGTACCCAGATCAGCGGTCTCGCACCCATCTTGGGAAAGCAAGAGTAGGTTCTATGAAGGCTACACTTCCGCCACAAGCGACTAATTCGTCACAGAACTATCGACCACCTTCTGCCCATGTTCTTGCAAATGCTGAAGGACGAGTTCCCCGAAGTTCGCCTCCACATTATTTCCAAGCTTGAACTCGTCAACCAGGGTATGTGCTAGCTTCTGAAACAAAAGCATCTTACTAACCCCTCTGCAGTCATCGGAATCGACTTGCTCTCCCAGTCTCTTTTACCCGCCATTGTGCAGCTTGCTGAGGACAAGCAGTGGCGTGTGAGACTGGCCATCATCGAGTACATTCCTCTTCTTGCCAGCCAGCTTGGAGTTAAGTTCTTCGATGAGAAGCTGAGCAACCTCTGCATGAGCTGGTTGGGCGATACCGTCTTCTCGATCCGCGAGGCGGCGACGCACAACCTGAAGAAGCTTACAGAGGTCTTTGGAGTCGAGTGGGCGAGCGAGGCGATCATTCCCAAGGTTATGGCTATGGGCAACCACCCCAACTACCTCTACCGAATGACAACCGCCTTTGCCATCACCGTAAGTTGAGGTCTTCGCCTCTATGGTACCAGAGATGCTAATGATTTCAGACCCTTGCTTCTGTTGTGAGCCTTGATGTCATTGCTGACAAGATCTTGCCCATGTTGGACAAGCTCGTCGACGATGAGATCCCCAACATTCGCTTCAACGTCGCCAAGACATATGGCGTTCTGATTGACGTCCTCCGCCGTTTGCCTGAAGAAGGCACGATTTACTCCCTAGAGAAGGAGGGTGGCAGCTTCACCGCGTCTCCCAGAGGCATGGAACTGATCCAAACACGCGTCATTCCCAAGCTCGAGAAGCTGCAGAAGGACGACGACGTCGACGTGCGGTACTTTGCGACAACGTCTGCGAACCAAGTGTCTGGGCCTTCTTCTGGCGAACCTATGAATACATCACCATAGATGAGAGACGTAATGAAGCAATTCCCAATCTTTTTATCAGGACCGTCCCAAGACTCTTACCTTGCATGCTTCGACCAAACGCTACATGGTGCTGGGTGCTACTCCGGTTCCCCTGTCAGGCTTTACAGAAAAAGAAGAAGACTAACTAGACAGAGAGAGGCGAGGTTTTCACTGGTGGTTGACGTTAGGAGAGATATCTCCAGGGGCATGGAAGCGACCATAGATGGGGCACAATGGAGGACGTGCATGGTTGAGCGTAGGTGACGTTGCCTGACATTCCCCCATTAAAGAAACACATTGTATGATACACCAGCAGCCGTCAGAGAAACGAGATGCAATAACGAAGAATGTTATCTAGTACCGTCGTGACCGACGTTCTTTTTCGGGGTATCTTGAAGGTCTTGTCATTCGTCTAACTCGTTGCATGATACTCTACCTTAGCTATGCCTGCCTCTGGAAGCACAAACTGCTGATGGTCTGGCCTTTGGCGCCGCCAAAGGTGAAGCTAGGATAATCCACCTTGCCCACAGCAACAAACTTGCCCGCATCTCCCTCATTCGAAGGGCCCTCGAACCACTTCCTGAGCTCCTCCTCTGTCCAGTTACAGCTCGTGATGAGAAGCAGGCCGCCGGGCTTGACGAGGCGGAGCGCGCGGCCTCTGTATCCCTCGCAGATGCGCCTGCCTTGCGCGTCCTTTTCGTCGCTGAGGCAGATTGCGTCAAAGGTGCCCTTGTCGAGGACGACGTCCCAACCGTCTTTTTGGGATCCGTTGAGCACGGTTTCCCAGGGTCCGTTTAGTACATCCCACTCTTCGAATTCTGGCTCTCTGGCGTCTGCCTCGTCGTCTTCGTCCCCGGCGGGTGCGTCGGACATGTCCTCATCCTCCTTGGCGGCAGCTTGCTGTCTCTGCGCCGCGATGCGGCGCGCCAGCTCGACGCTCTGCGGGGCGTAGTCGACGCCGAGGGCGCGGCCGGCCCAGCCCTCGTCGCGGAGGGCGAAGAGGAGGGAGCCGTTGCCGCAGCCGAGGTCGAGAAAGGTGGCGTCGGCTTGGCGGAGGGAGTGGTCAAAGGGGGCGGACTCGGTGAGGTCCTCGAGGTAGGTCAGGAGCTTTGACTCGGCGTCCGAGTCGTCGAACCAGACTGTGCCGCGGTCTTCAGGGTTCTGAGCGTTGTTTGTGAGTTCGGTTGTGTAGAGGGATGACCAGCTGTTTCAGTGGACCTGTTAGTTGGGGAATGCCCTTGGTGATGTAAGGGGGTTGGTTGTTGAGCGAAAGGGGTATGTCATTCACTCGTGGCGTGGAGGGGTAATGAATTGAGTGACGAACTATTCTTTTGTCCCGAGCTTGGAGGGCTCCAGGTGTGCTGGGGTAGATGCCATTTTGGGTGCTGTTGTTGTCAGAACCGGAGTTCGAGAAGTAGTATGATAGCTTGGTAAAAGGACGAGTTCTTTGTGCCGAGAAAATGGACAGTGATGAGCTATCCTTCAACCCGACACTTTGGATCCGAATTTGATGCCATCGCGAAAAGAAGTTTGGCGGGGTGTTGTGCTGTTGTCGACCCGGAGTGGAAGGCGGTGAGGCTCTTTTGGCTGGCGGGTGGGACAACCCCCACTTCCTTGCCTGGTCTCTGTTCTGCCTATGGCTCAGAGGTGCTAGGGATCCTTGCCCTGGCAATGGAGGGGTTGAGTTGGAAAGTTGCTGTAGGGCCAAAGGTTATGGCATCTGGCAGCTCGACATTGGTTTGTAGGATGTGTTTTGGGAGAGCAAGAACCCAAATCCAGATGGCGGTTCTGAGCAAGCTGCGGGGTAGAATTTGATGGGATAGGAGGAGGAAGACGACTGGCTTGCATTTGGTGGATTGATGAAATTGGTTACATGTCACCCGGTTCTTGGGGATAGGTACCTAGTTTTGACCTGTCTCTGCTTTCTCAAAAATCAGACCAGAGGGTAGAAGTATAGAGATAGGACAGCGGGAGCATTGACGTTTCCAAAATAGTTGGTGCGGTGCCAATGGTAGAACATACACCAGACAAGCTACTGCACCCACACGAGCCTCTCTCCCTCCTCCTCTCAGTCTCAGTCTCAGTCTCCCATGCCTGCAAATACTTTCGCGGCGAGGAAATGCAAAACCGTTTCGATGGCAATGGTACCCACGTCCGTCGAGGGAGTAGAGAAGTACCGATTACATATAAGCTGAGAAATAACGCACAGCTGGTAAGTGATGACTTCTCTGGATGGGAGCAGAGAGAGGGGTCTGTGTTTTACTAAACCCATTCGCCTGGTGACCCAAGTACCTCCTACATCAGGCGACGACATCGCCACCCATGTGTTTGCTCGTTGTGATACTTTTCGTCTCAAATGTTTTATTGTGCAAGGAGCACGACCGCGCCCTGCTGACAAGAGAGGAGGGGGTTTGGGGAAGGGGGGAGAGAGGAGAAAGGTGACGTTTCGTCTGGTGTCGTGAGGTTCGTTCATATACAGACACACAGCGCACGCTGACACCGTAACAACCCGTCGCCCTCTTTTTCTTCATCCACTCGTTCTCCTCCTTTCTTTGGCGTATCGCCAGACTCATACTGGTGACTTCTTTTTCCTTCCAAAATCAGTTAATTAGAGTCAGCTCTCGATGCTCGCTCTATCACGAATCGAATAGGATAATCATTAATCGACAACCTGACAGACTCCTGCCGTCTATCGAATAGAAACGGGAGCCATAATGTATAAGTTTCACCTCCTCCTCAGCTTCGCCCTCTTCCTCTTCCTAGCTCTCAGCGCAAGCGGCGCCGTTGCTGCGGCACACCATATCGACTGCCGGCAGGTTCATCTTGGAGCGCGACAGACTCCGGGCCAGGAAGAGACCAGAACCAGAGGAGTAAGTCTTTCGTAAAACGACGCGAGAAAACCTATCGTCAAGTCGTTCTTTAGTGGCTGATGTCGATATGAAATAGACTTGTACGCAGATGAGCAACAAATGTAACTTGACAGGGCGAGATGCCCAGGTCTGCCCGGCGGACTACAACAGAGTCAGTCACCTACCTTGACATTACGGGTGCGAAAAGACCTCCAGTCGCACGAGCTAACATTAGCCCCCAGTGTCCCTTCGACGGCGCATCGTGTGTCCTGATTGAGCCAAAAGGGGATTCCAGCCGCAAGCCTGAGGTGCGTTGCGGCTATCTGGGCAGTACACGTTCGTGACTCAGGAATGGGATGGTTGTGAGAAACGGCAAGAAAGCAAGCAACTTGTGAAGGTACCCTGGAGACTATCTAGGCTCTCTGTTTTCAGTAGAGAGCAGACATCCAAGTGTTCCTTCTGGTATGAATGTGAATCTTCAGTCATGAATTCCGCCCCTTTCCATCCGCATTGTTGATGGTTGACTCCTGTCCCCTTCCTTCTGGCCAAGACTCTTCAACCAGTATGGACCTCTTTCCATGCTCGTAACGCAGCAAATTCGATTGGATATACCGCTCATCTACATGGACTGCCGCCAGGTCACCAAAGCATCTTTCTTCGCACTCGGCTTATCTTGAACACGCTCAAAGTGCCCAAACAGTCGCCTTGACAAGAACCTGGCGACCACGAACTTCCACTACCGGGAAGCCCGCAAGTCTCACCGTGCTGTTGTCCTTGGGGGGAAGAGCTGAAGGAAGGGCGGTATCAGTACTTGTGCCAACGATTGACGACGCAGTGCTGCCCTTGCGGCCCGCCTGCGGTCCACCGCTGAGTATATTTGTGAACATACCGCTCTTGGTCTTGTCCGCCCGTTGGTTCTTGCCGCTCTTGTCCTTATCGCCTTCATCGGCCTCTGCTTCGCCCTCCGCTTTTTGAATTTCCAAAGGTGGAAGCGGCGTCTTCTCGACATCCATGATGTTCAGTTGAATTGGGTCTCCAGGTAGGGGATAGTTAATTGCGACATCTCTGCTCTCTAGCGGCAGGTTGGCTGCGATGCCAACGGCCAATTCAACAATCATGGACGCGCTGCCGTCCACTCCAGCTGGCGGCGGGTCTGTCATGTACTGGAAAAGTGTCGCCGTGAGGTTCGATGTGCACATCCGAGTAAAGTCCGCCCTGTTGTCTGCACTCTCCGGGGAGTTGAGAACTCTCTGCAGACCCTCAAGGGTAGCCATCCGCCAGCTCACGACCTTATTTGTCAATGCATCGAACTCTTCTTGGCTGCTCATCGTGTACGAGAAACGGCGGATGTTGAGCTCAATCTCCTTCAGCTGCCGGCTGAGCTCGAAGTTGAGGCCGGGATGGAAGCACTTGTTGAAGATCTCTTCTACAATCCACCTAGTAATGACGGCACGACCAACGGCTGTCATCTCCTGTTTTCCGGTCTTAAGAGCATCAATGCTGACGAACATATCTAACCACTGCGGTACTGTACGCCAATCTTTTCTGATGTTGAATGACAGATTGTTGATAGCACCATTCAGACGGCTGAATCTCGTTATATACTCGCTGTCGTCGAGGGCAGTCCGCGACTGTGACATTCGCTGGTTGGCGACTGCATTTTGCAGCACCTCAATTTGAGAGTTGAGGTTATCGATCTGGGTCTTGCCGTCAAAGTACAACCGCTTAACATTCTTATACTTAGTTACTGTGACTTGTTAGCACACTTCCAACACAGCAATCATGTCCTCCTTACGAAGCTCCTTGAATTTGTCGGGATCTGTGCCGTCGCGATCGGGGTTGGAGGGCTGTGGGCTGTTCCGGCCTTGCTCTCCGGTGGCGCCTTCAAACTGCCGCGAGTCTGCAGCACCGCCTGGTCGGAAGGCAGCGTTGGCGCTGCCAGTGGTGGGAGGCATGGTCTGGCTTTGTCTGTAACCGGGAGGGCCTGCAGATGCGTCGACCTGACTGCGCAATGCCTTCTCTGTCTCTTGGGATCGTCTGTTCGGGGGAGGGCCGCCAGAGGGAGGGGCCATATTCTGCTGCTGCGACTGCTGCTGCTGGGCTTGAGGTCCTCCTTGCTGGGCAGGGGGAAGTGTTGGAGGCAGCGGGCTGTCTGTGGTCTGTACTGCGTACCTCACTGCGGGGGAGGTTTGGCTGGAATGTACGTTTGCCGACAGAGCGTCTGAATCAGTGATGGGTGATTCATGCGACAACTGGGAAACAGTCTCGGGGTTTTGATGCGAACCGGCACCCAAGTGACTAGTATAGATCGTGGGTGGTCCAGCTTGGTACTGACCAGGCTGCTGGTTGGAGTATTGTTGCTGGTACTGCTGCTGTGAGGGGTCGTAAGCAGGCTGCTGACCGTGTTGGTGCTGTTCCTGTACGGTCGGGATCTGCTGTGGCTGGCGATCTCCGTAGTCGGCTTCTTCGTAGGGGGTATTGTCGAAGTCGGTCGGGACGTAGCGAATGGAGTTGCGATTGGAATCGGGGTTCTGTAGACGAGGGTCTCTGTTAGGGTCTTGTGCAAATTGGTGATGCTCGGTCTCGCCGACGCCCTGTAAGGGAGAAGGTTGTTGATGAGGTGCCGTAAGCGGCCAGTCGACAGATTGTTGGTCCAAGGACTGCTGAGACGGCTGCTGGGACAAAGTAATTCTTGCGGGTGGTGGGTTGCTCACTCTTTTGGACGGTCGGCGAGCAAGACCACCGGTGTTATCGTAGGAACTTGGCGGGGTAGGTTGGGGGGGCGGGGTGTTGTGATGATCGCGGCCCGATCCGCCCAAAATGTTCCTGAGCAGCTTTCGTGCAGATCGCTTTTCGGGGACGGGGGCGGGTTGCTGTTGCGGAAGAGGTGAGGTTGCTTGAGTTTGAGCGGAGGCGGGAGCAGATGAGGTGCTGTTGACGGAAGTTCTGAGGTTGTCGACGGAGCTAGATGCAGCACCGGTTTTGGCGTTATTGGAGTAGGGGGCCACGCCGGGCGGGTAGCGCTGTGACTGGGAGCGGGAGACGGAGTCGGTGTAATCCTGCTGACTCCTCTGGCGCAAATCAGCTATGGGTGGATTGTGGTGCTGCAACAGGAGGGAGTTGCGCGAGGTTGAGGCAGGAGGATGGTAATCGTGGGGCTGTTGCAGTGGAGATGGCCCTTGCTGCCCTTGCTGGTGTTGTTGTTGAAGGAGTTGTTGCTGCTGCTGTTGTTGTTGGAGCTGATGTTGTTGATGAGCTGCCAGCTGGTTCGGGTGGATGTCAAAGGATTCGCTGGAGCTGAAGGCGGTCGACGAGGCTGAATGGGGGGTAATTTGATTGAGACTATTAGCGCCGGCGGCGTTGTTGGCCGTGGTTGTGCCAGAGCCTGCACTCAAGGCAGGAGCGAGGGAGGAGGAGTGAGAGTGAGATGAGGAGGAAGGAGCACCGGCGGCACCAGCAGGGCCGGAAGGACCAGGCGTGGGATGCGATGCCGCTGAACCTCCTAAACCTGAACCTGAGCCAGATCCAGCAGCAACCTCTCCGCCCGGATCAACAAGTGCTTGCTGCGAGCGGTTGTGGTGCCTTCCAATGCGACCGAAGGCCGGCATTATAACACTGTGATGTCGTTGTGCGCAGCCGCCGCAGTCCAACCTGGCTTCTTTTTTTTTTTTGTTTATTGGCCTTTTTTCTTGTTCCCTTGTTGCTTGTTTGGGACGCTTGCCCTCCACTAGAACACTGCGGGTAAAAAGGGTAGCAAGCAGATCGATCGTCCTAGGTATGCCAAACGGCACAGCCCTTGGGTTGACTGACTGAACAGACTGAAAATGAGAGAAAGCAGAGACAGACAGATACACAAGACCGGATGGTGGACCGAACGCGCAGCTTTGCTTGCTTGCTTCCGGGGGTACGCAGCAACGTAGCGGGACAGGCTTCGCTTCAGCTCAGCTTGGCTCAGTCAAATGTCGGCTCGAATCTTGTCTGTCCGTCGATGTGCAAGGTCGAGATGCAGTGGCAGAAGCAATGACAGCTAGCAACCAGCGGCAAGCAAGAAAGGGAAGCAAGAGGATGGCAAGACGAGAGATTGATCAGCCCGTCCTGCTGGTCCCTGTTCCTATTTTTTGCGCGCCTGCGCCTGCGCCTGCGGTTCTGCGTCTGCGAGACCCTGTCTGTCCACTTCTCATCCAAGTTCAATCTAACCTACGTGTGCAGGTGCCCGCCAAAGGAAGCACCACCACCAGAGCAACAGGCAGAAGAACAGATGGATTGGTTCGGATTGGCTACCCAACCTGCAGAAGCGGATGCCGCGCTGGGCGACTGGGTCTAGGTCTGGGTTCCGTGGAGGGGCTTCCTTGGGGCTGTGCACAAGTCAACCCAGGTCGCCGTACGGATACTCCTCGCAAGCTGGAGAGCTGGATTCGCTTATGGCTTGATGCTAGGGTGCTGCCGATGGCTGCTTTGATAGAGGCTGTCAGACGCTGTCTGTATGTCCGGCCAGTCCTGGCGTGCAACGCTATCCCGTTCTCGACCAGCAATCGCAGGCCAGAGACGAATAGCTGCGAAAGAGGGTTGAGGGACGCGCAGTCTCCTCCCTCGAGTCTTTCTGTCGAGTTTCTCCTCCGGCTGCCTCTATTACTGGCTGGGGTCACCTCTCTTCAGACGAACAGCGGTTAAGGCTTGATACTCGTGGGGGACGATGAGCGACACGCTACAGCTGCTGCGGGGGAGGGATCTGGGGTCGTTTGGTGAAACACAGGCTGGTTTCGATCCGCGTCCTCAGGGGTCGTCGTTCGAGGTCTTGTCATCGGCAACCCAAAGATAAAGCCTCGAAAGCCAAGCGCTTGGGTGGCAGAGACAAACGATGAGCGGTTGGACAACAAATTGATGATGACGGGCGAGAGTTCCGGGTTGCTCAATGGTCAGTTGTGGATGTCAACGGTAAATTCGATTCAACCCGATGGAAATTGGGCGGAATGTGGAAGAGGGGGGCGTAATCAGAACGGAGGAGAGGAGGTGAATGGTGTCGTGGTGGGATCCCACGCCAGGATAGGGCTGATCAATTACCTTTTCGCCGGTTGACCTTCTTCTTCCCACTGAGAACAAGCTACGGACACGAGATGTTGCTTCGCGAAACGAATTATCGGATGGGTAATTGGCCATTCAGAGGAAGCCTTGAGAGAGATAAACCGCCAAGGAAATGACACCAGATCCGACATCTTCCTCACTCCGACTCTGAGCTTACTTACATGCAATGTTTGTGTCCGGAGCTCGCGGCAAGCAAGGCAAGCTCAAGGCTAGCAAATGCTTGCCATCTGTCAGCACCAGCGATGTATCTGATAGTTATTAG